CATCAATCAATAAAGAATGATAGGCCGTTGTTGATGTATTTATATATTTTAGCAATGAAAATAAAGTATTTTTTTAATAGAGTATATATTATGACTTATTCATTAAGAATGTATTATTCACATTAAATAGATACTAAATTTGATAAGTTTCATTATGTATCATCATTTCAAATGAAAGATAATGATATGCTCAAATAATATAATGATATAATTGATCCAAAATAAAAAACATCCTAACACATATCTATTAATCCTCGCGCGAAGCGCAAACGTTGTTCCCTAGTAAATAATATAAGACTATCTAATACCTTTAATCAAACACGGGATAAAATAATCTCACATCTTATTTCATATTATTATATTTTAAGCTTCACACCAAACGACTCGTTAAAGTTTATTAAGTTGGTCTGTTTTGGACCAAAGCTAACAGACTAAACTCTTGGGGGAATTTTTGGTGGGCCTTTGATCATGAAAAATAATTACTTTATTTGAAATTTTTAAAATTGAAATTGGAGATGTGTCTAGCCGTAATATATTTTTTAAAAACTTATATATGTGTCAAATGCTATAAAAACAACAACAACAATTTATGGTTTGGATTTCTTGAATTCAAAGATTTAAAATTCAAATCAAATTTTTTGTATTCATTCTGAACCTTCTTAACTACTTTTTTTATGAAATTATATCAAACTTATTGTTGTTGTAGTTGTAGTTTGAATTGTCTCCATGCTCACCTCTAAAAATAATATTTTTTTATACTATTAGTTAAAAAAAAGTTTGGAAAATGTATTTACCAGCTTTCCGAGCATGACAATAAAAGGAAATAAAAATCTTTAAATTTTATTAAGTAAAAACGCTTTAAATAACGTCCATAATAATTAAAAGGTGAATCATTGTATTAGTCCATAATAATGTACTTGATTTTGAATTGATATCTCGTTAAGATTGAATTTTGAATCTCTTAAAAATCACTAAGCCGCCTTTTGATTTTGTGTTCAGCAAATTTTGCATATATATAATATAATTTTTTGTCAATCCCCCCTCTCCCCCCTCCGACCTAAATTCGCTCCTACTATTGAGGTGTTTATAGTCATCAAAAACAATTACTTCTAAGGATAAAATGAAAAAAATACGTAATTTTGTCTTAAATTTATAAAATAATAAATAATTTAAAACAATTACTTTCAAAACTGTGATTGATAATTTGACATAGAAGAAATAATTTATTTTACAATTTTACCTAAAGTTTTTGTTCTACGAGACCTTCGATAATTATATCTACAACAAGAAATATTAACAAAGATAAATAAATAAATATTTACCCTTTGACACATAAATATGTAAAATTAATATACTATTGCTTTTAAATTTTAATTAAAGAAAAGGAATAATCAACCAAATATGGCACTAAAAGAATTAATGCCGAAACGCCTAACCCACCCTCTTGAAATATTAAATGCTTTAAAAAATCTGGTGTTTTAATCGAATATTCATTATTAAATTTCCATTAGTATATTTTTGGAGAAAACACATAAAAACTCGCTGAATTTAGTCGGATAACTACTTTAACACTTAAACTATACGGATATTTAAATATCCCTTAATATCTTTGAAGTGAAATTGGAGTATTTAATGATATTTAAACGTATGTATAGTTTAGGTGCTAAAGTAAGTTATCTGACTAAGTTAGGAGGTTATTTATGTGTTTTATCTATATTTTTGTTCCAAAATACTACCTCCGTCCATTTTTATTTATTATGTTGCGTTTTTCGAAAGTCAATTTGACTAATTTTCAAAGTTAAATTAGATTACATTAATTCGATATTTTAAACAAAAAATTTAGATATTCAAAAACTATACGAAAAGTACTATAAATTGCAATTTCTTGCATATCAACATGATGAAAAAATATATTGTAAAATGTTAGTCAAAGTTTTTATAGTTTGACTCTAAAAAAGGAAACCATGACAATTAAAAGTGGACGGATGGATACAATTATGTTAGGTAATTTTACTCTATCACTCTTTGAATATACTCCCTCTGTCCACTTTTATTTGTCATGGTTTCCTTTTTTAAAGTCAAACTTTAAGAACTTTGACTAACATTTTACGATGTATTTTTTCATCATATTGATATGCAAAAAATTGCAATTTATAGTACTTTTCGTATAGTTTTTGAATATCTAATTTTTTTTGTTTAAAATATTGAATTAATGCAATCTAATCTAATTTTGAAAATTAGTCAAATTCACTTTCAAAAAGCGCAACATGACAATTAAAAGTGAACAAAGAAAATAGTAAATATAATGTTTTGAAATATGTAATAGGAAATGACTATAATTAAGGATAAGCGTAAATTAGGAACTAAGTATAAAATTATCCATGAAGTTTTTAAAATGAACAAGTATTATTAGACATTTATTTTTAGTATATTGAACAAGTATTTTTAGACGGAGGAAGTAAGTGTTATCTAATTTATTAAACAGTTCTTATCAAATAAATGTTTCTTAAAATTTAAAAGAGGAAATATGATTGAAAAAACACATAAATTTTGTCCTAATTTTATGATGATACTAAGAGCATATTCGACATTATTGCTACAAACAACTTATTTTTAGAAGCATTTTTTTAAATGGCTTTTCAAAAAAGTGCGTTTGAAAAAAGATTGTGTTTGATTAATTCATTTGAAAGTATTTGATAAATAGATTGTGTTTGGCTAATCATTTTAAAAAGTGTTTTTGAAAGTAAAATTATGAAAAAGAACAAGTATCAATTCACTTTTAATATTTAGATTGTTTATAAAGAGTTCATTATTTTAAATATCTACTATAAAGTCTAGAACTACTATTTCAATTTTATTAAATTAATATGTACATATTTAAATTTTGAATCAATATTATAACTAGATAAAATAAAAAAATAAATTAAATATTAGTATAATATTAACATAATATAATTTAAAATATCAAGCAAAATAAATTTAAAAATCATTCCACAAATTAAAATCACTACATATGAAAATTCACCAGAATAAATAAATGAATAAATATAATGAATATATTGGTAAACACGAGAAATAATTTTCTGCTTCTACTTCTGCTTTTTTTAAGAAGTAGAAATTTTTAACTTTTTCCTAACAGCATAAAAATTATTTTTGCTTCCAATTAAAAACAATTTTATATGTTAGCCAAACGCCTTAATTTTTTTTTTAAACGTGTTTTTCGTCAGAATAAGTGTTTTTGACCTACCAACGGCAAGTCAAACAATGTAACAATATTTTTTTCAAACTAAAGTGACACGGAGAAGGAGTGAGTAATATTTAGAAGAATTTGAAACGTCCGAATTACCAAGGAGGATAATAATAATAAGGGAAAAGGGTTAAAAATGCCCTTAACGTATCTCAAATGGTTCAAAAATGCCCTCCTTCCATCTTCTGGTTTAAAAATGCCCTTAACGTTTGCTTAAGGTTTAAAAATGCCCTTTATTAACAGCCCACTTACATGATAAATGATGAGTCATTTAATTAGCCAAATGGCTTCATCTTATTGGTCCACCTAATTTTTAAAATCCAGCCCTACGACCCGACCCATCTATGCTACAAAACTCAAACCCACCCAAAAACCGTTTTTCATATTAACCTCCGAAGAGACGCCAACTCACGGATGAATTGGAATTTGATGTCATCGCCGGCGATGATAACGGACAACTCCAATTCTTGCTATGCCCGGAGGAATTGACTCCGGCATACGACTTTATGGATGAAGATATTAAGCCGATTCAGACATTCATTCCTGAAGAGGTTGTTAGTAAAGACAAGTTCGATGTTGGAGTCACCGGAAGGACGATCATGGTTGTTGGGTCTTCTTACATTCCGAAATTGAACGCAGAAAAGCCATTAGGTGAAGACGCAAGCTTTATTTGTGCAAACAAGTAGGCGATTGGTGTTGGTGGGTGGGCGAAAAAGGGTATCGATTCAGGTGTGTATTCAAGGGAATTGATGAAAAACGCTGAATAGGCAATTCAGAAGCATAGTAGTAGTAGTATTACTACTATTAATTTGATGAAAGTTCTTAATGAAGCTTTTTCAAATACAAAGGCGAAGGGTTCTTCTACTGCTTGTATTCTGTCTCTTTCCGACGACACATTGCACGCTGTTAACGTCGGAGATAGTGGGTTTGTAGTGATCAGAGAGGGGATAATTGTGTATAAATCAAAAGTTCAGCAATCAAGGTTCAATTGGGGAATGGGAGTACATCTGATGATCCGAATGTAGCTGAGAAAATCAATGTTCCAGTGATAGCAGGGTATGTGACCATGTTGGGAACAGATGGATTGTTTGATAATGTTCATGATTTCGAGTTAGAAGCAATTGTGAATTCGGGGGTGGATTCCTGGGAATCAAATGTAGCATAGAAGAATGTTTCAATGTCAGCAAGTAACAAATTCAAGATTTAGCTACCTTATTATTTGTAGTTCTTCCTTTTTCTTCTTCTTGAAATTAATCGAGAAATGGAAAAAGAAGATAAATTGAAGGAGATAGGAACTCAAGGAAGAAAGAAGAGAGTTAGGCTAAATGGGAACAAAAGATCCAAAATTGATTGGGCATATCGGGTCAGATTTGAAATGGGTTTCTAACTAAGTGGGTCATATATATTGAAATAGGTAAAGAAAATCCATGTCACAATTTCCATGTCACTGTGCTGTTAATAAAGGGCAATTTTAAACCTTAAAAAAACGTTGAGGGCATTTTTAAACCAAAAGGTGGAAGGAGGGCATTTTTGAACCATTTGAGCTACGTTAAGGGCATTTTTAACCCTTTTCCCTAATAATAATAGCAAGTGGATCGCGCATGTAGAATCCTAACATAATTATATTTCTATTGAATATGTTGTTGACCTTATATATATATATATATATATATATACCAAGATTTGTCTACACAAAATTAAAAAGATTATAATATCATCATCATCATCCCCTTTTGTTCCTTCTTCAATTGTCATGGGATTGTGTTTTAGCAAAAACTCTGCCTCCAAAAATAACGTAGAGAAGACAAAGAAGAAAAATAATTATGTTTATGGTACTAGAACAACACGGGATAGCACAACTTGTAGTAGTGGAAGTGTGGCTTATATATACGGGCTAGCGGCTACTGGAGGCGGTGGTTGTGGTGGTGGAGGTGATGGTTGTGGAGGAGGTGGTGGTGGTTGCGGTGGAGGTGGAGGTGGTGGTGGTTGCGGTGGTGACAGTGGTTGTGGAGGAGGTGGCGGTGGTTGTGGAGGAGGATGCTAGGACCAATTTAGTCCCAATTTCGATTTCTTTGTAAATATTTATTGCGACAATATTGGATATAAGAAATAGTACTAGTGGTATATATTATCATAGTGCAAATAAGGACCATATCATGCCTGTAACCTTTTTTCTTGGGCATGGATTTTAGTGTCCTTTTTAATTTGTTTAATTCTAATTAATTTTAGTGGTATTTTTCTTAATTATGTCATCTCTTGTATAGATAATTTTACGTGGAATACATTAATTTTCCTTTTTATCAATGAAGATGTGAATTCTCAACTGTTTGGTTATCTAAATTATAACCTACATGCTATACTAACTAGTAGTATATTGCTTGCGCGCACACAGACAAAATATAAATAAATTTATATGACTATTGGCTACTTTATATAAAAGTAAAATCGGTGTTTAAATATTTGGAAGGGAAGAAATCCTATATTTCAAAGTTTTTTCTTTATCATATAAGTTTAGTTTATCATCTTTTTAAGTTAGTTTTTGATTTAACAATGCAAAAAGTTTCTATGTGTCATATTCCCTGAGACATTACATTACTGCAGTAGTAATTAGTACCATATTTTTTACTAAATAATTAAAATATTCAATTTAATAAAATTTGTTAGTATTTTATTGAACACTGAAAGTTCTGAAAACAAAAAATATAAGATGGCGTCGCCCGGACTCGAACCGGAGACCTTCAGTGTGTTAGACTGACGTGATAACCAACTACACCACGACACCATTGATGACAATGTTGAATACACATTATTTTAATATAACCATTAATTGCTAAGATTTCGTGTTCCCTTATATATATACCACGTAGTTGCAATGTTCCTTTCGTTTGCTGAACAGAAAAGAGGATGCCTGTTAGGGCTTTTTTGTGTTTGAAAGATAAATTGGTTGGGTCAATGTTATAGATTAGGTCGAATTCACATATAACTAACATAAAAATTATATTTGTATGTTATAGCTATAGTTTACATAATTGCGCTCCATAACAAATTTTATGTTTGCTATGAAGCTTTTGATTTGTATAATTCGTTAGATACATCCAATTTTATACAAATTGTTCAGTTTTGTATAAATTTATTTATACATTGTAATTTGTATAATAAGATCTGTATTTGTATAATTATAAGTGTATATGACGAAAATATATGTATTTGTATTTGTATATACACTTTTCTCTCGCTTTATACAAACACAAACACATTTTATACATTTGTATACCGAATGGGTAATTGTATACCGAAAATGGCTAATCGTATACCGAACTAGATGGCAAAAAAAGGGGATGTATGCTGCGAATTACAAATAAATAAACTATGACTATAACATTTAATTTGAATTAATAGTTTGCTATTTTATACAATTTTCCCTTAAATTATTGGGGCGGGGAGGGTAATATCTAAATTTGATTAACTTTAAATTGAATAATTCTTTTAATTCTAGTTGTCCATGTGTCCTATGTTAGTCATAAGGGTATATTTAACCCGAAAGTATAACTAGGAGGTATATTTAAACTATTCCTACAGTATAGGGATATATTTGGCCCTTCACCGTAATCTAAATGGTAAATTTTATCTTATTTTTTAAAATCGTGTAATTACTTAATTTTCCTAAATACTAGGATACTTCATATTTTTGTAGCCTTTAATATTTGGAGGGCCTTAATTACTTTAGGGCAACCCGAAATTGACCAAGTCGTAGTCTCGTGAATTGTAACCAATTATGGTAAGAATTAAAATTTAAAATTAAACCCAACCCAACACAAAGTGGGATAATAATAATATAATCCCAAGATTACTAGATTTTGGACCTTGATTAGCTCTATATAATCTTTGTCATTCTATAAGATTTTTCATAATATCATAAGCCACTTTTTCTACTTGTCTTTTAGATCACAGTACAATTATTCTTCATTTTACGTACCTTATACTATTAATTGTCATGGGATTGTGTTTTAGCAAAAAGTGTTGCCTCACAAAAGAGAAGAAAGACGATTATGATCTGTTTAAGTTAGGAACGACTACTCTCAATACTACCACTTATTACCCTACTACTGCCGGAGGAGGAGAATGCAAACGTAGAGGCAACCACCACCATCACGGAGGTGGAGGTGGAGGTGGAGGTGGAGGTGGAGGTGGCGGTCACCATCTCAAAAAAGAGGTGAACATAGAGAAGAAAGACGATTATGATCTGTTTAATTTAGGAAGGACTACTCTCGATAGTACTACTTATTACCCTACTACTGCCGAAGGAGTAGGAGAAGGCCACCGTCATCATCACGGAGGCAACCACCACCATCACGGAGGTGGAGGTAGCGGTTGGGGAGGTGGAGGTGGCGGTTGGGGAGGTGAGAGTGGCGGTTACGGAGATGGAGGTGGCGGTCACCACTATCACGATGGTCATCATCATTGAGGCGTGAGGTGGTTGTGGAGGAAATTAGCATCAAATTAATTTTAAATACTCGTTAGGAAATATAGGACTAGTATTTTTTTCATTCAGGATTATCCATGCCTTCAACTATTTTTTTATTTTTTTTACAAGGCATGCATGGGTTTAGTTTGTTTTATTTTTCATATATACAATTCCAATAAATCTTAATTAGTTGAAGATATATACAGTGTTGTTAATTATAGTGCAAAATTAAAATACATTCTTCTCTCTATTCCTAATTCCCTGCCATAAGCATCCACATGATCACCTGCAAAGCAATTATCAGTAACAAAACATATTAATGGGAGGACTTAGAAGGAGATAAAATTCAAAACCAATATATTGATGGCTTTATTGTTTGGATGGTTGTTATGTATTGTTTTATAATATATTGTATTGTGTTTTATTGTATCGTATTGTATTATTTTAATGAATACAGTGTTTGAATGGATTGTATCGTTCTTCATCGTTATATAATGTCACACTTCATAATTTGAATGATAAAACTATAAGAAAAGTAGGGTTTTCCATCGTTACATAATGTCACAAGTCCATAATTTGAATGATAAACTTACAAGAAAAGTAAGGTTCTCTGTCGTTACATAATGTCACACGTTTAGAATTTGAATGATAAACCTACAAAAAAAAAATTGGGTACGAGGTAGAGTTACTATGAAAAGGTATGATAAAAGATGAAATCTGATAATGAAATAATATAAAAACAAAATAAGAAGAAAATATTAAGGTAACGACGCGATCACACAAAATCAGTCATTACATAAAATGGTCTTTTCATCATTACCTAACGATGAATTTAGATGAAACGATACAATAGAATCTAAGTTACAATCAAAACAAATAATTGTATTTAAGCTAACAATTGAATACAATACAATACAACGAGTAACAACCATCCAAACAAGGTAGACTCTGATTCCTTTCAACTTTTTTTTGTTTAAAATCATTTAGCAAGCACTTTCTTGTAACAAAAATAGTCATCAATTAGCCCAGAGATATAGTAGGAAAAAGTACATGTCTATCATCTCATCAAACCTATTACAAAACAGAATTTTCAATCCTAAAAGATTTACAAACTAGCTAAGGACTTGTACATGGCCACAAAATCACCTTGATGGACACTTCTCAAGTACTCTCTAAGTTCACACATCTTGCCAAAAAGAACACCAACAACACAGTTTCTGCGATTATCTACTAATGCGACACAAATGCTGGTATTTCATCGGTGATAGTGGTGGCATCACTAATACTGTTACTGTTAGAATCATCATCTGTAATGTTTTGGCGCCCTGGGATTGTGTAAATGGAGAGACTGGTGTTCAAGTTTCTTCGAGTACCATCATTTTCGGGTGGGCAAAACCTGTATGAAGGAGGTTTAGAAGGTGGAACAACAACCGAGACAGAGGCTACCCTTTTTCTGTTGGCTCCCCTGTGCATGTGAGTCTCACAGTACTTCTGACAAGGAACAACAGTCTTGCTGCATCTCCATTTCTTTCCATCTGATCTTCGGCACCTCTGTTGGTCAGCTTCTGAGCCTGTGTTACAACAAAAAAAGGATTAACCGTTAAGCATGAGCTATTCTCAACAATCATCAAGGTTGCTGAGCTAATAAAAGAAACTAACTTCTCCTTCCACTGTCACAGCTTTATGCAGAAGGAATTTAAAAACTACAAATAGATCATCAGGTTAAAAGCCTACCTAACAAAATCTAACCAATGCAGAGGACTAAAATAAAAAACGTTATCGATTACTATCAAATATGAGGCAAGAAATTATTTAGTATTGCACAAACCCAAGCAAATTAATAAAAGGAGACCATACAATCCTGATTCATCTAATAGTTTCATGAAGCACCCACTATTAGGCACTGCTCAGAAGAATTTTTAAATAATCCACTGCAAGATAATTTTCCTGGAAAGGCATGCTACTTTTACAGTTCTTAAACCAATGAAAGACAAGGTAAAATGAAGACGGAAAGAAGTTCCTTGAATATAACATATTGGAATCGGTGGTTTACCTATAGAGTGTTGCAGGTCACTCTTTGTAGATAGACCAAAAATTGGAACCAAAGCACCATGCTTCCTAGCTTCTCCGCAATTCTGTTTTTGGTTGGTTTTGCTGGGACTAATACGATTGAAATCAATGTTCTTAGTATCAGCATTGTCACCAGAAATGAAAGATGGGGTTCTTACGGACGTTGTGATGTCCTTTCTATTGCAAATCATGTAGTTGTCTTGCTTCTCACTGCCGTTGATCGAATTGATGAATCTTGGTTTAACAGATGAGTCCTCGATGCTGTTGTATTGGTTACTTCTGCTAGTAGAAGACAAACAGGATGTTTTACTACTTGCAGGAGCACATTTGCTGCCGGGGTCATCGGAACTGGCATACAGTTTAGTTATCTTGGAAATGATATTTGTATCATCTGATCTCATAACATGTTCAGAAGATTCCACAGGCTTTCTTGAACGTCGACCTCGATGCACATGCTGCCCACAGTACTTCTGACCTGGAATCACATCCCTTTTGCACCTCCATTTCTT